CAAAGTCTCCTTGGCCCAGTCATGATCTCTTTTGCTCGAATGATCGAAGAGCCCATGGCGGGATCGCAGCTGCCTAACTTTTTCAATGTGGCCAACGTTAAAGAAGTACCAAAATTCGTTAATGGTCAAATCCAAGTCTAAGAATTGGCTTAGATTGAGGAACCCCACCATCACACATACCGCATTTGGAGAACATTAAGCATGGGCACACTTCATGGAGCAAATTACTTCTTGGAAGAAACGAGGCATGGGAAAAGTAAATCCCAACACAAAGTAATAGGGGTGAAACTTGACAGCTCTTCGAGCCCCACTACATGACTCATGGCTGTTACCTTCCTTGACACGTTTCACTCACACCCCCGACGGAATGACGTGCCTATATGCCTTAAGAAAATCTCTAAACGAGTTATCGGAGTTAATCTTGAAGTGAAGCCTTGAAGTAGCCCACCTTGCTCAATGACCCATCTTGATGATACAACGGCGGTACACCATCATCTTTGTGGCTTGAAGAAGACATACTCGAAAAGATTCTACAAAGACGCAAGGAAAACTCGTTAGACAGCTACAAAAAAAATGAAGATCCAAGCTGCAGGAGCCTAGCAGCCACGCCAGGCCTCATGGCCTGGCCCATTTTTTCTCGGCTCGCAGACTTCACAACCAAATTCCACCAGAAGGGGACTGGCGCCCTTGCTCTTCCTTTTTTCACTTTTCTCGTGGGTCAAAGCCCAGTCATCCAACCCAGGAAGGAGGCCCAAGCCTCAATTCCTCTCATACCAGCACGGGCCCGAGCCTAGGCCAGCCATGCGCCACTAGTGCCCTTGCCCAAGCCAGCCATGCGCCGCCATCCCTCGGCCTGAGTCAAGCTGCAGCCGCACCAAGCCAATGAAACAACCCCACGACAACAACTATGCCGTGGCTTTCCAGCCACCTTTTCACACTTTCTTGATCCCTGTCGGGCTAAATTTCAAGCCCCGAGGCTCCCAAAAATTACGAAGACGAGGAAAAATTAATTTTTCTTACCTTGGTGCGGCATGAAGACGAAGAAAGCAACGAAAGATGGTCCTTTGCACGGGCAAGTGTAGAATATTCTAGGGGATGGGGAACAAGTACCCTCTAGCTTTCTCTCTCTTGTAGGGTAGAACAAATTGTTCACTGAAATTGATTTAATAATCTACTTAAGGTAGACTTAAATAGACTTTAGAAGTAATTTATTTCCTTTTCCTAGAAGGATCTAATTTCCAATTAAAGTGGGAATCTACGTCAAGATAGGAAACAATCATATGTTTCCTAAAGAGAAGATCTCTACACATGCTACCCCTTTCATGCGAGCAGCCCAATAGGTGTGGGGGCATTTGTGGAGAAAAAAATAATCAAGAAAAATATGGAGGCGACACGTGGACTTTTGGGTAAAAAAGACAAAATTACCCTTAAGGTACACTGGGATTCCCACGCGCATGTAACATATGATAACGGCTCAATCAAGGTCAAAGGTGATCAAAATGATATTTTTTTAAAACCCTCTCATCATTCCTCATCAAATCTTCACCCACAAGGTAACACTTAATTATTCTTTTCAATTGGGATTAATTGCCAAAATCAATTGATTAAATACCTAATTGATTGCAAGATATTATTTGGCATAATATATTGCAATTAAAGCCAAATTACCACCATAAGTGGCTAGTCCCCATTTCTCCAAATAGGGCCGGCCACACGCCTATATATAGCCCTTCATTTCTTCAAAAATCTAAGTCCAATTCTCTTCTAAAATTCTCTAAACACTTTCTCTCTCAAATTCTAACTTTGGCATCGAAGATTCTTTGGCCAAAGCCCCCATTCATCGTGGGCGAGTGAGGCTCTTGACCTTGATCTTAGGTGTTAATTGTTTTGTAGGTGCATTTTCGTCCAAGAAGGAGAAAGCAAAAATTTGCATCCACATCTCTTACTAGTAGTCACCACCAGTCACCATCTTTTGGAAATGATTGTATAGATGATTGGATTGATTTTGTGGATGAGAATGATGAGCAAGTGGTGAAGATGAGGTGGATTCATATTTGTTGGATCCTTTGGAAAGGTCGACAAGGTGCTTATAAAAGTCTCTTGTGATGGAAAGCTAATGGTAGCAAGTATCTTATATTGGCGGCCATTGCAAAACATATACTTGGTATTCAAGCCTCAACCGTGACATCGAAGAGTGCTTTTTGGCACCTTTAACTCCTAAATTGGTAAAGGCATTAATTTGCATGCAAAATTGGTTGAGGGGTGATGGTGCAATCACTTTAGAGGATGATGCACCTTCATTTGAGCACCTAGAGTTCTACGAAAGTATTGAAGCAGGTAAATTTCTTATTTGTTATAATTTTTTAAATTTTATTCACTTGTAAATTTACAAGTTGTATATACTTTTGTATTATGTAGAGTTGTTGAGTTCAATCATATATTTTCTCTTTATTAATTCGAAACAACAAGCATTGTCTTCACAAGCTTTTACCCAGCCTCCTTGAGCTTCAAAAACCAAAGGCTCATTCAAAGCCTCTCAAACCTTCAACCACCAAGGGTGTCAAGCATAAGGGGTAATTGCTTTTATATGAATTTAACTTACGTATTAATGGCATAAGGCATTTAGTTGAACTTTGCCTTTTCATTTGGGTTATATAAATGTCATAAGGCTTTGGCTTGAACTTTGATTTTTCATTTGGATTTGTACTAATGCCATATGGAATTTACTTGAACTTTGATGTTGGATTGAATTTGTTGATGTTTGACATTGTTGGATTGAAAACAAATTTGATTTTGGCACTATTATGATTTATAAAATTAGATGTTTGAACTTTAATGTTTGTTGTGAAAAAAAAAAAACAAAGGAAAACTAATGAAAAAGGCTTGAAAACTTTGAGTTTTAATGATAAGGACAAAATAAAGGGTAAAGTGAATAGTACCAGGATTGACTTTTTAGTGTAAAAATGTGGTTTTTCGTTAAAATAAACAGTACCGGGTGCTTTTCGTTAAAGTTCCCAAAAAACAATGACTTATTTACAACAAAATAAAACTGCAACTAATAAAAGACCAAAACTAATTTGGGCCTATTTTCTTAAAAAAAGGCTTTGTTCCTAAAAGGCTAAAAACCGAATTGGACTTGTATTTTGGACCAAATTGAACTTATTTGGCTTGGTACTAATTCGGTGCACCCAGGCATACCGAACTGAACCAAATTTTTGCTACCGGTTCGATTTTGGTACCACCTTTGTATCGAATCAATTTGTGTATAGGCCTAATGACAACCTAGCGACTTAGGACCTCTTGCCACACGTTTGTGTGAACATGTGACAATTTGCTCTTTTACATGTTATTTCTTATTTGTAATTTCATTTTTTTTGTTTTTATTTTTATCTTATTTTTTGAAAAAAAATTTTAAAGAAAAAAAATTGTCCACTAGATAGATAATTTTATTTTAGAATCTTAATTAAGGAAGAGTATTTGGAATTATGCTTGATTGTTCTTTTTTGCATTCTAGCTACAAGGACACTTGGTAGTTGGTAGTACTATCAGCAAACAAGGCTAGGCTAGGCCACGTCAGCAATGTTCGTAGATTTTAATAAGGCTTGCCTACCACAATGATACTCTCGGGATTCTTCTTAGGATTTTAGGAATTCATAAATTATGTTTGTCCATTATAAATTGTACAGTTAGTTTTTATCAGGTATTATTTATGTGTAATTTTAAATAAAAAAATTTAAAATACTTTCTAACCGTATAATGTGCGATGAATAAACATGATTCACGAATCTTCGAATCTTCATCCTTTTGGCTAGGCTACGCTATGCAATGTTTGTAGATTTTGATTTGGTGTTGGATGACGAAAAACATAAAGAAGGAGAGAGAGAGAGAGAGAGAGAGAGAGAGAGAGAGAGAGATTATAACGACGGCGGGAGAGAGGTCGCCACTGTGGGCTGGCTGACTTAAAAAAAAAAAAAAAATTTGCTTTTCTAATTTCTGAAGTTAACAGAGTTGTAGAGGTGATAAGTCGTGGGACACGTTTCGAAATTTGGAAGCTTTGTCACAGGCTGGGCACAGGTTTTTGGGCACAGCAGATTTGGACTCAAACGAATGACACAAGCCATGCTCCTCTGGCCCCACGTGGAACCCGCGACGACATCCCCAACGTAACCAAATCTGATCCGCAATCCCGCCTACTTATCATCCAAAAACAAATAAAAAAAATATAATAAAATCAAACTCAGTTCTTCAACAAACTATTACTCAAATGAAAAACTTCTTAAATTAATAACTAACACATACAAAATAAAATATATGAAAATGTCTCAAAAGTGCTTTCTTTATTAGCATGTGATCAAAAAATACGTAGTCACTCAAAGTTGAATTTGATGCAATAAAAATGATAAGTAATTATGAAATTAAATCTCACATTATATCTGTTAAGTAATCTGATATTAAATTTGTCAATAAAATTTAATTTTAAATCATTAAATATATAAAATTAATATTATTAGACTGTATTACTAAATTTTCAGATTGTACATTTTTCTTGCTGTGTATGCAAGGTAAGAAAATAAATATATTGCCAAAATTGATGGGAAAAACCAAAAAGACTAAAGGAAAACTAATGAAAAAGATTTGAAAATTTTGAATTTTAACGATAAAAATAAAATAAAAGGTAAAATAAATAGTACACGAATTATTTTTTTAGTTTAAAAATATAATTTTTCGTTAAAATGAACAACACTGTAAATTTTTCGTTAAAGTACTAAAGAATAACGAATAGGGGTGTGATATTCATACACCTCTTTTTACTTCTCCCACACATTTTTAGTTTTCGGCCCTCAGATTGAATGAATTGAAGAAGATCAACAAACATAAATTAACAAAGAGCGTGTAAAAAGTAAAAATTGATGTGTGGATAGCACACCCTAACGAATTTTAGAGCAACGGTGTTGAATTCTTCACCCGCTTTGTTGCTTTTGATGACAAACTACGCAAATAGTGCCACCTCATTATTTCAACTCACTTTCTGCGGACTTCTCAATACTCTCTCTCTCTCACTAAGAGCCCAATTCCAAAGCAGAACATCACAGATTGGTCGATCGCTTTCTGGGTTTTGCTTCTCATACTCTCGATTTCAATCTGGTAATTGATTCATATCATTCAAATAATGGCATTGGTACAATTCAATTGTCATGAAAATTGGTTAATTTCTGATCGATTTCTTGATTTTGTTCATGCTCTGTTTCTACTATTTCTTCAATGCCATCGCCCTAATTTTGTTAATTTCTGCACTTTAATAGGTTATAAATCGCAATTGATTTGGATTTTGAGTGTTATGCTGTAAAAGGTTTGATGGGTTTTTAACTTTTTGTTAACTTTGACTTTTTTGGCAAATGGGGTAATTAATCACCCACGATTTACCAGGTAAAAATGCAAGCGTCAACTTATGGTTCAGTAAAGGGGAAGTTGGGGTTTGAAGATCAAAACCAAAGAAGCGTGTTGGGTTTTGGAGAATTGAAAAATAGAGCAAGTACAGGGTCCAGGAATCTGTGGGTTGCAGAGAGGAGAACTTGCTCTGGTGGATTGAGCCTCCGTGCCACAACGCCGGCGATGGGAGCCAAGCTTGCCGGTCTTAGAATGGGTTCTGATGGGATTTCCATGTCCACTTTGAAACCCAGATCAGTCCACGCTCAGGCTTCTGGTTTGACAATCATGCTTATTCGTTTTCGCTTTTATGTGCATTCTTTTGTCTTATCATCACCATTTTAGTTTACGTGCTAGCTTTTGATTAATAATTTGGTGAAATTTGTATTGGAAGATGGTATCTACCTAAGTTTATTTAACTTTCAATCGTGATCTCCGAATTGGCATCCTTTTCTCCTTGTCATTAATAGCTGCTTACTACTTACTAGTGTATATAGCTTTCTTGGTTTACTCAGACTGTGGCCTCATTGTATTGTTTTTTGCTTAAACCAATATGGGAGGTGGGAGCTTGTACGCCTCATTAAATTGTTTGACTGGGAGGAGGAGGGTTTCTTTCATTAGAACTGTCACACCCTGTACAAATAGATGTGTAGCTGTAACAGCTGTTTTATGGCAATTTTGGCCGCTTGGGTTAATATATTTATGTGAGATTGGTCTACCAAAGTTTTATCAGAGAAATCTACCAGAGTTTCATCGGAAAACTGAGTTCTAAATCTGTAGTTCTATTGCTTATGTTCATTCCATGAAAAATTCATTTTCAACATCATAAAACTGTCTCTATGTAACTGTATATTCTGTAGTCAATCTGGATGCTTCTTCAGCGATGTTTAATGGCTACACATGTCTGTTTAGGAGGCTCCAAAGCATAATTCCTGAAATTTGATTTACATTGTTCTTAATACAATTATAAAATGCAGATGGGGATGTTGAGAATCTTATTCCCTCCAAGCCTCAGGGGAAGTCCTCTGGAACAGTATTGCCGTATGTCGGTGTTGCTTGTCTTGGAGCCATTTTGTTTGGCTATCACCTGGGGTACAGTTTAACTTGATTACTAATAGACATGTTCCTCAGTTTTTTTTCTGGACTTCTCTATTCTTACTGAGTCATTTAGGTTGTATCAAGGAAAGATATTATGTTTCAGTCGATCACAGGATATGTGTGCAAGTCATGAGATCTTGTTATTTCTCTTTCGACGGTAGTTGAGCATATAACTTAATTGTATCTGAGGCTTACTGTGGCATCTGTCTGTATTTTCTTCAGGGTGGTAAATGGTGCTCTTGAGTACCTATCGAAGGATCTTGGTATTGCGGAAAATGCGGTATTGCAAGGCAAGTCCACTATTTGGTCGTTTAAATCTGTGAATAACAGCTTGAATCAAGTAACCGTTCCTTGTTGTTTCCATGTTTCTCATCTTATCTTAGTGTGTCATGAAACATATTTGCACCATTTTCCTATTGCTTGAGGACTACATTTCCAAATTAACAAAGGAATATATTGTCTAGTACTCCCATCATTTTGTAAAAATAAATAAATAAAAATGAATTGTGTTAGGTTATGCTAAAGACTCAGTGCGATAACTTAAGTCAACGCATATAATGTCACCACAACTATAGATATTGGGTTTGTTTTGCTTATGCTACTTTCTCTTAAGATTGTATAGTTAATTGTTACAACACTATAACATCTCTTTTGCAGGGTGGGTGGTTAGCACACTTCTAGCAGGTGCCACAGTTGGATCATTTACTGGTGGATCGTTGGCTGACAAGTTTGGCAGGACTAAGACTTTTCAAATAAATGCAATTCCGCTAGCAGTTGGAGCATTTTTGTGGTCTGTCTATTTCCAACAAGTATGAGGTTGTTGTCAGTGATATAACTATAAGAAACTAATGCGTAGTCTTCTTAAATGTTTCAGTGCAACAGCCCAGAGTGTGCAAACGATGATAGTTGGCCGCTTACTTGCTGGCATTGGAATTGGCGTTACTTCTGCTATTGTCCCACTTTATATATCTGAGGTACTATGTATGTTTATATATTTCCATCCTCAATTTGTTAGCATTTGGCATTTTGAATGTACCACTTAACAACCCTATTTTCTAATGATCAGATCTCTCCAACTGAAATTCGTGGTGCCCTTGGATCTGTAAACCAGCTTTTTATATGTATTGGGATTCTTGCAGCACTGGTGGCTGGATTACCATTAGCCGCAAATCCCTTATGGTATTTCATCATTGCACCTTTTCTTTTCTATACAAACGATTTTGTTTATGTGCGGGCAAAGACATGTGTGAATGTGTTGTGTATGTGCGCGCATGAATGTTCACGCTAAATCACATGTATTCTTAAACGTCACTTCATTTCCGACATTTGACATATCAAGAAAGAGAGGAAGTACAAATCATAGGTAATAACTTGGCTAATTAGGATCTGGTTTTGATGCTTATCCTCTGTTATAAATGAAGTTTACATAGATTTTTCTGGTAAAGAGCCTCTTTCCTGAAGCCAGAAACCAGTAGAGGAATAGAAAATTCTTGTTCAAATGGGCAAAAATAAAAATAGGACGTTTTGGATTTTTCATTTTTTTATTTTTTTACCTTGGTTGATAACTTTGATCTTATGTTTCTGGGGCTAATTTAACCTCCTAGCTAGATTGATCCATCAATTTTCTAAGGACACAATCTTAGTTACTTTACTCAAGTTCCAGAATCTTGTAACCTTAGAAGGATACTCTCCTGGCCGAGGACGAGTATTTTCACAAAATACTAATTCATTGAGCTTTCAACCGGTGAAAAGTGAATATATAAGACCCTGTTTATGAACTTTGGTAGTGCTGTTCTTAGATGGTAGCAGTAGCATGTCTTTTTGATCTTTAAATGTCAGCTCTCTCTCTCTCTCTCACACACAATTTTACTCAATTATTTATTTTATCAGGTGGAGGACGATGTTCGGTATTGCAGTAGTACCATCTGTTCTATTGGCATTAGGAATGGCTGTTTCACCAGAAAGTCCAAGATGGCTTTTTCAGGTTTTCAACATAGCCTGATCAAACATCAGCACAGATGTTATATCTGCTTTTTCATTGTGTTCTCTTTTACTGTTAGTTTTATTTGATTCATGATTATTTTCAATGAAAATGCTAAACCAATCCTTTTTTCGCAGCAAGGAAAAATTTCTGAAGCTGAAAAGGCTATAAAAACACTATTCGGAAAAGAAAGAGTTACTGAGGTCATGCATGACTTGAGATCAGCAACTTCAGGTTCTGCTGAACCTGAAGCGGGCTGGTTTGATTTGTTTAGTAGCCGCTATTGGAAAGGTTTGCCTAAATTTCACATGAGTCATGCTTGAGATGTGCTGTGTTTGTTTTCTTAGCTAACATATGTCTTTATGCAGTCGTTAGTGTGGGTGCAGCACTTTTCTTGTTACAACAGATGGCTGGGATAAATGCTGTGGTCTATTATTCTACTTCTGTCTTCCGCAGTGCTGGCATTACATCTGATGTTGCAGCAAGTGCTCTGGTTGGATTAGCAAATGTCTTGGGTTTGGCTCTTACTATCTTTATTCTTGAAGTTTGGAATTGTTTTTTATTTTTTATGTGTTCTATAACCAAGAATGGTCTCATTCCAGGCACAGCTGTTGCATCCTCGTTGATGGATAAACAGGGAAGGAAAAGTCTTCTACTCACAAGCTTTGGTGGAATGGTAGGGTTATTTTCACTATCAATCTCACTCTTTATTTGACGTGAATGAATAATTCATTGTGGGTTGGCCACCCAGACCATTTTAGCAATTTGAGACTAGTGACTGCTGGAGAAGCCATGAATTTAACAGGGGCTTGAAGGGTCCTTTATTCAGATAAGTAGAGGGATTTCAATTAATGACCATTTTAGTAGTTTGAGACTAGTGGCTGCAGTAGAAGCCATGAATTTATCAGGTTCTTGGAGGGTCCTTTGTTGGGATGGGTAGAAGGATCGCAATTAGATCACTTTAACTGCAACATTTTTCAGGAGTGATTCGTGCCTAATGATTATAGATATTTCGTCTGCTATCTGCACTAACCCAAGTGCACTACACGTGTGCACTTCAGTTTCAGGTTCATTGTCTGCATACATAGCAATTAGATCACTGTTATAGGTCATGAGGCCTGGAAATTTTATTTACTTGGAAAACTCATGGGAAAATGGGACACACAATTTTTCCTCTTATGTAATTGAACTTAAGTGGCTTCGTCAGTAGGTGATGTTTGTTATAAATAATTTTCATGGTCCAACATATTCAGAAAAGCTTTGACTGTGCTGCTTTAATTGAATTGTGATGAATGGTTTATGTTTTTTGTTCCTCTCTCTTGCTTATGATACCAATAACTCTCTCTTTCTTTATTCGTTAAGGCTGCTTCGATGTTGCTGCTTTCACTGTCCTTTACATGGAAAGCCCTTGCTCCATATTCTGCCCCCCTTTCTGTCGCTGGAACTGTTCTGTAAGTTAGAGGCTTACATTAAAAGATATATCCCTGTACTCTTTTCTTGTTTAAAGTTTAATTTCCTATCTAATAATGGTTTTCATTTTATATTACCAGCTATGTATTGTCCTTTTCACTTGGCGCTGGCCCTGTGCCTGCTCTTCTTCTACCAGAGATTTTTGCTTCAAGAATCAGAGCAAAAGCAGTTTCTTTGTCACTGGGCATGCACTGGGTAAGTGGTTGTAGACACTAGACACTGAAATTTTACTTGATACTATTTTGTATATGTTTTCTTGTTTCATTGTCTGCAGGGATTTTCCCGTTTACACTGGTATTAGGAAACTCTTATTTGTTGGTTTATTTCAACAGCTTATTGGTAATAGTTAATGTCTTGTCCAACCAATTAGTTTGTATGGACTAAGATTTTCGATTAATTACCTCAGCATGTCTTTTATTTATATTTTAGATGGAGGAAGCAAGACAAGTTTGCTGGACGATTAAATTGTCCAAACCAAACGAACTTGATTGCAAAAGGATATTGATTTCACTTTTAAATGACACTGTTATTGTCTCAACCTGCATTCGGATATGTGTGTATCTGTGCCTATCTGTGTGTAGATACATATCTGTACGTCTGTTTAACTATGTAAACCTTTACGTGTTTCTGTGGAATGAAAATGAATGAAGAAACTGATATTATGCTCGCATTAATTATTTTGTTTGCACAAGAATATGTTGGATGTGCGTTTTATTCTTCATTGATTCACCTCTCGTCTCATATGTTAACTGAATGTTTATATGTTTCATCAGATTTCAAACTTCGTCATAGGCCTCTATTTCTTGAGCCTTGTAACTAAGTTCGGGATCGGCACAGTGTATTTTGGATTTGCTGTCGTCTGTCTTCTGGCTGTCTTGTACATAGCTGGTAATGTTGTTGAAACGAAAGGTCGTTCGTTGGAGGAAATAGAGCGTGCTCTTAGTGTTGTCACTTGATTACGATATGATTCAAACTACGAGCAAAAATCTCCAGCAGCTTCGGATTTTGGCCTTAAGCACCGACAGCATCACCTCCTTTTCCTGCTATGCGGACTAGTTCATTCCCACCTCTCCAGGACTTGTATTTAGAGATGGAACCGTGATTGTAGCCACATAAAATGGTGTCTATGGATTTCCATTACTGTAACACACTACCACCTTGGTGATGCAAATAATATTCTAGTTTCTACCATGAATTTTGGAACTCTTTGTAATTTCTCAGATCGAATGACTGTTTGAGTACAGCGCCGTTAGACGGTGGGAGGTACCGACACAAGATGAATGAAAAGGTTTAGGCTGCTTAGCAGATGACATATTGAAACGCGGTTTCTAGTTGAACATCTAATAGAAATAATTCTCCTAGTACTGTATGAGATGTCTTAGGGCTGGTTTAGTATTGCTGTTCTTTGAAAAAAAACTGCTATGAGAATAAGCGGCTGTGAAATAAATCTGTAGAGTGTTTGGTAAACTTTTTTGTAAAAGTGCTTTTGGAAAAAAAAAAAGTCTGATAGTGGGTCTTTTCATTAAAGGAGCATTGTAGCTCCATATGCTTTGAAAAAAAGCCAATTTTTCAAAGCAGAAAATAGTTGCTTCAACTTTTTCTTTTGATTTCAGCTTATTTTCATAGCAGCTTCCAAAATAAGCCTTTTTTTTAGTTTACCAAACACCTAAAACCCTCACAGCTTTTTTTCATGGGTGCTTTTTTTTTAAGCACCTCATTCCCAAACCACCCCTTACTATTGGATGATGAGGGATAAGTGTTTTTTTTCTCTCGAATAATTCAACCTCCCATGTTTAAACTGAACAAGTATGCAAGTTTGCATCAATTTTTTCATTCAACATTTTTTTGAAACAATTTTAATTCGACATGTATTAGATTATTTTTAGCTACGCTATCTGAAATGACATTTTGATTTCACTTTGCTTCATATAATTCAAAAGTCATCATTTTCGTTTCATTTTAACTTGTTGTCTCTCTCTTCTTCCTAAAACTTATAGGTCACCTCTTGAAATATGTGAGACTCAACACCCAATAAGACTATGTCACATGTGAAATGAATTTGATTATTTCATTATGTGTTTACATTCAACAATCAAAGAGCATTAAGTTTAAAAGAAATTGAAGAGGTGGAAAAAAAATTTGATTTAGCCTGGGGCATCCAAATCAATTAAGGGAATGTGGAGCGAATTTAGAGTCTTATATAGACGACTTTCAAGTTTCAGAGGAAAAATGGAATCAAAATCAAGTTTCAGAGGAAAAATGGAATCAAAATCAAGTTTCAGGGAGTAAAAAGGTAACTTTTGAGTTACAAGGAGCAAAGTGAGACTAAAATCGAGTTCTAGGAGAAGTAGCTAAAACTATCTAATCCATGTCAACTTTAGACTTCATAACCACCTTAAAGTGATAGTGATGCTCACCACCCTATCGATTACTATAAAATGAGTTTCATTTAATTACTATACAAACAGTAATTAATTGGATAGTGAGCATTATCACCACTTTAGAGTAATTAATAGGGTGGTGAGCATCATCACCACTTTAGGGTAATGTATGATGGGTTAAATTTTTATGTGTAGTGGGAACATAAGTTAGTACATCATATGTTGTAATACAAGTAGACAACAAGATTGATATGTCCCATTTTTATGGTATGTTTTTCAATATCTCTCCACTTCTGTTATGGCATGTGGTTGCCGTCTTGTGTTACGAGTACATCAAAATATCTCTCATGTGTAGGGTAGAGTATTTTTATGTAGGGTTTAAAAAAAATCTGAAAAAAAAAATCAACCCAAAAATAAATAAATAAATGAAGAAATAAAGTTACTTAATACTACATTCTTGTTAATATTATTCTTCACTTGTAGCGTTTTTAGGTTGTAATCTAGTCAATTATGAGTTCGGTATGAATTTTTTCTCACTTTTTATGTAAATTAGCATCTTGTCACACGCGAACACCTGTGAGTGTGTTGTACTTACTTTTTTTAGTTTAATCATTATTATTTTTAGATATTTTTAATTTTATTTGTTACAAAACTTAATTTACAGTTTCTGATTTTAAATTTTATTTGAAAAATGGTTAGCAACTCTTATGTTAGGAGAGATTTTTTTTAGTGTGACCGGTACATGGAGTGGTACACCATGTGTCATTAAACAAATGGTAAGATATGTGTGCTAAAAAGTTAATAACTTAAAAAATAAAATTTCCTACCATTCCTATTAAAACAAGTGATGTACCACTTTTGTTCCTGTCGCAACTAAAAATTTATCCTATGTGAGGTTGTTTTCTTTTGATTCTTTTAATAATTTACTCTTATTTTATTCTTTTTAAAAGGAGCAAGAAGAGAGGAATATTTTTTATATTATGAATGTTTCATCAAATTTACATCTTTTTATACATAAAACAGATATATTGTGTCGTATTAAGACAATAAAAAATTTAAGTAATTAATTTGACATCGTTTTGTCAAAAAAAATAAAATAATAATAATAAAAAAAATAAAAAATAAAATAAAGACTTGCTAGTTCAAATTTGCGACCTTGACCCAGGACCGGACCCTGAGGCCTCCATGACAAAGACTTGGGAACCATAGGCAAAAGAATGACTTATATGAAATTGTGGGAATAAACTCATTTTATGTAAGTTACTTTTTACAATGAGTGTTAAATTTTACGTTTATTAGAATATAGGTATCCAACACTCTAATTGAAAATTTATGTTGCCAACAAAGTCACTTTATAAATCCATTTAGTTGAGAGCCTGTTTTCCATTGAATGTGAAACAGAAATTTCTGTCTGGTTTTTGAATTCATCCTCCAGATATATCAGTAAAAAAAGAAAAAGCCAAAAATCAAATGGATTGGCGGAAGAAGATGAGAACGTTACTTTTCTTTAACTCCTATGCAATTAAATACACAATGCAACTGCCATTGAAATACAGTGTGGCTGCATGCAAAACACGCACAGATGCGAAAAAAAGACAAGAAAAAGTGGGGGAAAAACGTGACATTAAAGGCACTCACCACAATCCAAAGAAACCGAAATGCACAGAGAAGAAACTGTAATTTTCTGCATGGAGAAAGTCCGCGTGGCTTGGCTGCATGTCCACCATTTTTATCACGTTATATCTCGAGATAATACTATGGATTTGTAGGAAATTGAATTTAAGAACTTAAGCAATTAAACTGCTACATACAAAATATAAAATATCGCGATAAGTTTGGGTAACGATATCATTTTCTTGAGTAAAGAGTGACTCTAAGAGCCGGTCCAGGTCCAGTGCGGGCTGGGCTATCGTCTGGTGCCCAAAAAAATCAGGGACACCCAAATTATTTCAGGTGTTATATTCATATATAATTTCATAAAAGTATAAATTTATAAAATTTGGTTAAATAACCAAGAAGTTTAACTAGACTTAGTGGTTTATTTTGTTTAAAATTAAAAAGAAGGTCCCGAGTTCAAATTGCTATATTTTTATTCACTTTCTAATTTTTATAGGAAACTTTAACAAAAAGCTCTTGGTACTGTTCACTTTAATGAAAAATCATATTTTTACACTAAAAAGTCAATCCTAGTACTATTCACTTTACCCTTTATTTTGTTCTTATTGTTAAAACTCAAAGTTTTCAAGCCATTTTCATTAGTTTTTATTTATTTTTATTTTTTTATAAGGGTATAAATGTATAAAATTTGGTCAAATGATTAAGAAGTTTAACTAGAAATGGTTGTTCATGATGTTTAAAATGAACAAGGACTTCAAAATGTTATGTGTGTTTTTTTATTTTCCATTTTTTTATGAATTTCTTTTCATAAGAGTATAAATTTTTAAAATTTTGGGGAATTTCTTTTTGTAAGAGTATAAATTTTTAAAATTTTGGTTAAATGATCAAGAAGTTTAATCAGAAGCAATGATTTATATTGTTTAAAAGTAACGAAAGGTCTTAAGTTTGAAATGTTGTGTGCTTTTTTTTATTCTTTCCAATTTTTACCAATTTCTGTTTGGTTGTTAATTTCTTTTTAATTGCTAGCTAGTATCTGTGGGGGTTGCAATTTTTAGACATTCATTCCAATTTAATTCTAACCTTAAAGACAAAAAGTAAGGGAATTTTAACGAAAAACTTCTAGTATTGTTCACTTTAACGAAAAACCACATTTTTACACTAAAAAGTCAATCATGGTATTATTCACTTTACCTTTTATTTTGTCCTTATCGTTAAAACTCAAAGTTTTCAAATTATTTTCATTAGTTTTCCTAAAAAGTAATGCGTAGCAGACCAAATTTTTAGACAAAATTTGCAACGCATGACGTGTCACTAATAAGAAATAAAGAAAACTAATGAAAAGGGCTTGAAAACTTTGAGTTTTAATGATAAGGACAAAATAAAGGGTAAAGTGAATAGTACCAGGATTGACTTTTTAGTGTAAAAATGTGGTTTTTCGTTAAAGTTAACAGTACCAGGTGCTTTTCGTTAAAGTTCCCTAAGAAATAAGCACGTTAATCAACACTTAAGTAATAATCCAATCATCAACAATCACATCCTATAATTTACAAATTTTGGTTTAAAATTTTTGGTATCCCTAGCATTAGCCTTCAAAAAATTAATGGATGCATGTCTCATTCATTGTCTACATATATCAACTAAAGATTCGAAAATATGATTATTTTTTTAGTCCCATATTGACAAGGTTAGTAAATAAGAAAAAACACCGCATGAGTTATATAAAAACACTTTAAAAGTTCAGATAGAAGGGAAACAAAACTCGTTGTGACAATCGGTCCTTAATTTTACAGATTTAATAATTTTAAAAGAGTGAATTGACGAAAAAAACTATTTTAGTTATTTTTATATTATTTTATAATATTTTCTGATGAGATATTTGTGGTTGTAGGGCCCACACGCCATACTCACCCACTCACTCACTTCCAAGTGACATTCTCTTCCTTACACATCCGAACCTTCCCTTTCAACTCTCTCTCTCCTTCTGGTCTTTCGCTCGCTCTTCACTCTCTCTTAATCTCTCTTAGTTATCTCTCTCCTTCGTTGATAGTAGACCACACCACCACCACCACTTGCCATTCTGGCGAACACCCACGAAACCTCCCTATCACGAACCTAACCCAGGCCGAGACCCTTTGTCTCCTCGCTGCATAGTGCCATCATTGTGCAAAAATCTGATCCGTCAAAGGTAAGGCCTGAACCTTCCTATAAAATTATAGATTGTGCCTAGGACTATGATTATGATGTTTTTGAGACGGTTTAGTAGTGTTTGGACATAGGAACCACGTCGGGGAAGAACTTCCCAGTTTTTGGTGAGCCATCCGCGAGTTGCAGGTGCTTTTCCGATCACCTTCTGACCACGGCTAGTCCTTGAATTGGTAAATCCTTGTTCTCCTATTCCTTGACTTCATTTTGACATAAAGATTACTGAAAATGGTTAAGTTTCGAACTCGATCAGAGCTTGGGAAAAATTTCCCAGTTTCCGACCTTCTTCTACGTTTGGCTCCGGCGGGTGCAACTTGCGAGCCCAATCGAATCCAACCCAACCCGAGATGAAAAAACAAAAGAAATCCAGAAACTCGGATCCGGATCCGAACCTGGGATCTGGCCCGGCCCATTTCTGAAATGAGTTTGGAATATTCTCAGGAAAATTCCTTGTGTTGACTTTTTTGAAATTTTCTTGGAAACCTTCTTAGGCTAATTTCGACGCTCTGAGTTTGTTTTTTACACCCTTTTAGTGAAATTCCAAAGTTTTAACGTAGTTGACTGTTGGGGCATCTCGGTTGACTTTTTAGGGTTGACCGTTGATTTTTTTCATTGACTTTTTACAAAATTTGCTAGGGATCCTCCTTAGCAAATTTCAATGCCTTGATTTCAAATCCGCACTCCATTTTCCCAAATTTAATTGTCTTAGTTGAGTTTTACTAATGGGTCCCAATATTATACTTAGGTGCGATCACTATCAAAGACTCCGACTTTCCCAGCTTGAATAGATGTCACATCGCAAGTACCTGTGAGTGGGTCTTTTCTTTTATATAACATACACACACACACACACACGCACACACATATATATATTTGTTAGTTTCCATTTATATATTTGATAAAGAATTTTCTTTGTTACACCTAGATTAGGGTAACTTATATAAAATTATCATATTGATGGAATTCATGCAATTATACTACGTCCTACGGGATGCATAGATATGCGTATTAGTATGGATGCTTTAATAGTATTTACGGTTATGAATAGCATTGCATTGATTAGAATTATCGAATTATCGATTTACTATGGCATGATCATATTTACGTTATCTGCTCATCGTGTGCTGCACTAGTGTTAGTACTCGCCCAGGCCAGGGCCAATCTTTCACGTGTATGTTCACATCACACCGGACGCTCACTTTGGATCCATTGTAAGTGCCAATCCAGTCCTAGATTGCTATAGGTAATTAGAACTCGTATGTGATGCGCATAGCGCCAGTCTTCACGTGATTGTAGTACTAGAGAGTAAATCATTATTACAATCAGTCTTGTTTATGTCAAAATACCTCTGCATGAACTTGTGTGTCAACATATGTCGATGAGCACTCGATATGATATATTTATTTCTGTGAGATATTGTGATTGCTGGAAACTATATGCTTATTTATGAATTTTGTGAAGTTTTATATTTTTGAGGTATTGCAGGCTACGATAAGTATTTTCATACTATACATAGTATATCTATTTTGGAAACTATACTTGTTTTACGGTGAGGGGTTATTATGTTTTTGAAAAGGTTTTTACAAAGCTTTATTTTTTTAGGCCCACTCACCCTTATTTTTCGCCCTTCCAGGTATTAGTGGCAGAGCTTTCGTGTCGATGAGGATTTATGGCAAAACGTTGTTATGGGAATACTATCGACAGTATAATTCATCTTTATCTTTACTATACTTTACTTATGCTATGATATCACGTGTGAAATTGGTTCATTCTTGCTCACATGCGCACTCTTATATTTAGTCACTTTTAGGTTTAAATTTATTCACATTTTCCACATCACTACACTTTATGGCTTCGTCACTCTCCTGGTGTCGGTTAACACAGCTTGATTCGAAGTCCAGATGGACATTCCGGGTTGGGGTGTCACTCATCATCTATCTACTTGTAAGCCTGGGGTTTTTTGGTTCTCTTCTCTCAATACAAAATAAATTAGTTTTTTCCATGTCTAAATTATTGAGTTTGGAATGTTTTTTCTAAGTATAATTTTATCGAAGTCTTACATGTGAAAACAAATAATTTTTTTTTATATGAAGTTAGGGTACATTTTTTGGGTTGCCTCGGGCCTCAAAAGTCTTAGGACCGGCCCTGGTGACTCTAGAAACCTAGGAAGAAATATCTCTCTTATTTCATCAAAACCCTAATAGCTAAGTGAGTCGTGTTTATAAGAGAGCAACTTCAATCCCTTCTGTGCTCAAAGTAAGCTATCTTCTTCTCTATAGCTACTACTACATACCAGCAAGCTCATCCAGACTCTCTCTCAAGCAAAGAAAATGACGAAGTAGACAGTGAGATCATCGAGCAAGGGAGGAAACCACAAAAAAAAAAAAAGAAAAAAAAAGAAAGATGATTAATGCCGATAGACTCCATGGTGGGCACGAAGTTTTGACCAGGCAAATGGCAAGAGAGCTTCAAATGAAGAAGGATGAGGTAAGGGAAGATAAAGTGGTGGAGGAAGAGGTGAAGAAAAAGGACGAGGAAGATCGAGGAAGAAAAAAAGGAGGAGGCCTAGGAAGGGTTGGAGGCCAAGGAGCCGAGTATCACTGAGTCACCTGATAAAAATGTTGATGGGGTGAATGGTGCTACCACTACTCAAGACGTGCATGTGGGACCACAGCCACCGCCGGCTGCCGATACTAATGAAGATATGGCATCGGTACTTAATGTTGGAATTTTAAATCGATGGGCCCGGAGGCCCTCTCACGTGGAACCTCATTTAAAGGTTGGCTCATATAGAGTCCAGATCCTTTTGGGAGTTGAAAGTTAGAGGTCGACTCAAATGGAGTTGAGATTTGTTTTCAGTCCTTCCAGGAGGTGATGGAGTTGAAAGTCAGAGGTCGTGTCTAATGGAGTCCAGATCCTTCTGGGAGTTTAAAGTCAGAGGTTGACTCTAATGGTGTCGAGACTTGTTTTCAGTCCTTTTAGGAGGTGATGGAGTAATTGTGGGCCCTGATACCATGTTGGAATTTTAGACGACACCTATAGAGTCCCCATGTGAAATTCCATCCCCGGAACTTCACTATTTATTATGTATCTCGTAATTTAAGTTCGTATTTCACGTTTACGTCATTTTTATTACTTAATTTTAATTCCGTAAATTTTGGGAATTAAATCGAATAGTTATCGGGTTTGAATTTTTGTAATCAATCCTTATCTTTTGTTGACTTTTTGAAGGTCTAACTAGTGTTTTTAAATAGATCTCAAACCCACGAAAGCATAGGCGAAAGCCGTTTGCGAGTCCAAGTTATAACGGTACAGTTACAGACATTTGAAGTTGTGAACTAGAGATTGTGGGAATTATTTAATTCCCACATGTGGGTTGAAGGTTAAGTTTGTTTAAAAAGGGGACCAATCAGATTTTTTAAGGTAGAGAAAGGACCAATAAAGGAAGGGGACATTTTCTTCTTTTTCCCCATTTTGGTCAACCCGTGCTCTTTCACAAAACCGGCTCTAACCCGGCCGAATTCTGGCGAATCTTCACCAAAGTTTAGGCCATTCTCACCCACCCACCACCCTGCAACTTGTTACACAACCTCTCATTTACCAAATTTGCTCAAAATCAAGGGTTTTTAAGGCCAATTTCGGGTAGAACTCCACTGGAGAACCCGGGGGTTCTCGACGGCGATTCGTCTTTCCGACGGGTATCACTATTCACCATTACCCTCAATCAACTTCCCTTGGACTCAGGAACAAGACCCAACTGGTGGTTGGGGCATTGGAACACCAAGGAAGCCGAATTGAAAAACACCCACCTTGGGATTTTTGTTAGGTGCGAGCCAATATGAGGGCCTTCCCAGCCAAATTGAACTCGGCCACAGGTATAAAGTTTGCTCTACTTGTTGAGACCTTCATTCTTGTATAATTTGAGAATTTTTAGAAAAAGTCGAATTTTCTGATGTGTGACATTCGATTTATGAAATGCTGTTGGTTGAGTATAGTTTCGATTAGGTCCACCACTTGAATATTCTAGCAATTGACGAGCTTACCATTGAATTGACACCAAATTTTTAGTATGCTATTGTAGATATTGTTTAAGGACCTTAGGAACTTACTAGTGAAAATCTAGTGGTTGGATCTTACGGAGCAAGTGATGTAAGATCATGGACCATACCTTTGATCGACGGTTTGATTCTCATTAAATGTCATTGTGGGAGACTTATGAGAGTTTTGGGTATGTGAATTTATCTAGAGAATCTAAATGCGGACATGTGCTTTGTTTTTTGCGGTGATAGAACTTGATGCCTTGAATTCCATGCTAGAGTGCGTTAGTGTGGACCTCAAGTGAGTGACTTTAATATATGTGATATTGGTGATTACCCTGTTTTCGTAATTGTTATCCTATGTGGATATTACTTGGTTTTATAAATATGTTTTCTACTGAATTGTTATTTTTAATGCTTAGCCATTGATTTAAGTTTATGAAATGGGATTTGACATGTATATATTGAAATATGGTTTGATTGGTTTGATTGGCATGTTGTGATGAAATGTGAGGACTAGTGGTAGACCGTTAAACCATGGTGATGGGGATTTGTTGCTTTGATATGGTTTCATCTCCCGCTTCGTTGATTTGTTCTAAATTTAGTATTTGTGCCTTATTTCCCTTGGTTGAGCTTTTGTAAATTAGGTAACTTTTGCTTGTCTCATTTCTTTGAGCCATTGTATATATGGTTGTTGGCCTTCCGCGATTCTGTTGAGTGGTGGTCCAGAATTGTATCCAGCTTGGGTTTCATTAGTGGGTTAATCCGCATTGGGGGATCGTACTATATATGGATTGTGTTTGGTTAATCCATGTTGGGCGATCCTTATGGCCATGTATGCTTAGGAGTGATCATGCTTGGTTAATCCGCATTGGGTGATCACTTCCTAACAAATGTAGGAGTGACTCTACTTGGTTAATCTGCATTGGGGGTGTCACTGCCTACTTGGTTACTTTATTAGCGGTGGCGTTGCTTGGTTAATCCGATTTGGGGGGCCACTTCCTTTTTGGTTACTTATGTAGGCTTCGACCGAACTGGGTCCATCTAGCCCTAGTTTTTAATGTACGTATGATCGATGGTTTTTGAGAATCTTGTGATTTGAATTAGAAAAACCGTTGGATGTCTGGGTGACTCCTTCGGAGTTTCCAGTGACTTGATGATGATTCCACAAAGCATGATTCTATACTGGATGCTTATAGATTGTGATCGATGGTCTGTTTTAATTGTATCACATACTTGTATTATTGTCACTCACTCGAGCTTCGCAGCTTACCCGAGTGTCTGATTTGCCCAGTGTGCTATCTCCATGATGTAGGCATTGATTTTACTTATGATAGGTCTGGGTAGATAATGAGAAGTAGCTTGGTATTTCAGTTCCATTGAGTGGTCCGAAATCTTTGCTCTTGCTCATTTTCATAAGGTTAGTCTAGAACCCTAGATTTTTATGAATGAGAATTACCCCCAATAAACCTTGTGAATATAAATTAGAATTACCATGTGAATTACTCATAATCCAAGTAGGGAATTACATAGAGTTCCTTAATTAAATTCGGGAAATTATATGTTATTTCATTAATTGATTAATATAGTTAGATATTAATATCATACATCTTGGATTTATTGAATTGATTAAATGACGTGATCGCGGAATGACGTTGGGTATGATTGAGATTATTATGATTAGATTAGTTGATCATTGTGACTTGAGAATAACACTGTGCTTCGTGGTTCTTTGATATGTTACATACTATGAATTGCGGTATTATGTGAAACAAAGTGATTTATATGATGGATAAATTGGAAAGCATATGTGTGAGAATGGCATACCGGCGTGCATGATAAGGTGATATTTGTTGTTTGGAGTTAAGGTTGAAGTGTAGTGTGGTACTTTATGAGTTCTATTAGAAGTATTTTACAAAAAGTTATAGAGCTTGACGAATACTGAACTACGAATGACTTGATCCTTATTGAGGGTACGTAGGCAGTCTACCGAGGAGGTTAGATGCAACCATAAAGTAAGCGAAAAATTACTTTGAAATTTGATTCTAGAGTTGTAATTTGCCATATCCCGGAGGTGGGGTATGTGAGATATACGAGTATTTGGTGACGTAACATGTTGATCCTGGACGTATGTCGGGATCGGAACATGACACCCCAACTTGGTAATTACCATCTGTCTAATCCGTCAGGTGTGAGATTTTACCACAAAAGCTTCGTTATTAGTTAAAGTATGATAATTATATTAAAAGTCATTGTTGACTTCCCCCACCGATGTGGGATAGCCAACACTTAATTTGAGTTTGTGGGGGTGGACTCCCTGGAGAAGCAAGGAGGAAGAGGATTTGTGTTTTAACAGGGACTTTTCTAGTGGGCTTGGGAATCCCTACGGTGATTGTTTTGACAATCTATCTTTTACTTCTGTATATAATAGTGATGTTGCGGGGGACACTAGTAGAAAAACATGTTTGCGCGACAGAGCAAATTTCGTTGCGCAAAGTATGTTTGCGCGACGCAAAATATAAAACGTCACGCAAACGGCCTTTGCACGACAAAGGCTAGCTTCGCGCAAAGACTTTTTGCATGACGCAGGTGTACCTACGTCGTGCAAAGTTGTTTTGCACCACGGTGGGTGTGCAACGAAGATTCGTTGGGCTAATTTTTGCGCGACGTTTTTTTGACTTTGTGCGACGAATGTCCTGCGTCCCGCAAAGTCATTTTTGTACTAGTGGGATGATCTAGGGCAAAATAATGCATGGGACGGAAGCCTTTGGAACTTGGAGATAATTCGTCCACTAAACAGCCTATTATATGTTGTGCTGATGGTTAATTATTAATGTTTTAGAGTTATTAGCTTGCTGCAAATGTCTCTTTATTAGTCAATTACTTGTTTCAGTCATTTTCTTATTGTGATTTTTGCATCCTCCTCCTATATATGCTGCTGTTTATCGACAAGAAAATGATAATACTCGGCCAATAGGTGTAGATTTACTGATACCTAAATCATCGAATAATAAAAAAAAGCTTTGAAACATAATTAATCAACAAGATGAGGTTTCGTAAATCCTCTTTCTGTACAATTTTCCTTAAGTATTCCCGAATACATCTGGTATTCACCAACACTCAAATTTGAAAAAACCTTACCACGAAACCAAAACTTACGTGCGTTGCAAGTTACATTTCTATACAACGTTTTGCAAGTGAGCTACGTTAATTAACGCTAAGTTAGCTATGCTCATTGCACCTACTTAATTACACATGGTCACAACATTTAATACAGACTTTGGATATCATAGATTCACCATAGTAGACCAAACAAAAATACACCATTTCAATATATAATGCGTGATGGAATGGTTTTTATTTTAATTTTTAATTTTTATGTACACGATTACTTAATATTATTCAATTTTTAAGAATTTCTCAGAATTTTGTTAGCACCAGACTTTATACAGAACTAGTTACATTTTAGACATCAAGTTTAAGTACAGAAATTTATTATTTCTGAATGTGGTTTCCATGAACTTGGAAATTGAAAATATTTCTCGTCTCCTACCGGTGGTTCCTTTAGATGATTACAGGCCAACAAGCTCATGTAAACCCATAACAATGCCGCAAAACAGGTAATTTTGGCAACCTAGTCGGCACACAGATCACTTCATCCATGCCTCCAGATACTGTAATTTCTAATTTCTAGCCATATCTTGCTTTTAGTTACCTCTTTTTGCATTACTGAATTAAAGAAGCCCTAACCACTTTAACAATAATTTGCTAGAAATGGAAGTTGTCATATAGGTCGCATTGAGTGTGATAAATAATATTCATAATCTCTTAGCTAGTAGCTACGTACATATATTGACATCACCGCGTGAAATTTAGGGTACCGTACCACTCAAAGATTTGGGCACGGTATGATAAATAAAACTAAATTATCTTATCGTGAATTGTTTCATCACTGGTATTTCACGTGAAAAAGAATGTGTTTAGAAAACCGATGAGTGCACAATATGCATATATAAAGGTCTCATTCCTCTTAGTCTATCTCCATCCTCTTCATTTCCGCCACTGAAGATTTTTAGCAAAGGTCGCCACTTCCTAATACCAAACTTTTTCATTCCTGTTCTCGCTCGTCACCTCAGATCTTTCACTGTTGGCTTGTGGTTATTTTGCCTCACAACAGCTTTACCTCGCATCTAATATTATCTCTCGCAACAATACCAAACTGTGTCTTAGTCTGACGGCCGGTCTCACCTCATGCCCTTCACATCTTGAAAAGCTTACTCTTTGAAAGTCACTTATCTCTGAAATCTTTCACCCTTGATCTGTGGTCGGATTTAGTTTGTTGCTCGTGATATTTGTAGGTAAGATGAATGTTTTATGAAACTTTTTTTCTTATTACAATTAAGTAGATTTTCTTAATAGTACTGACATCCTCAAATTATTATTGTTTATGGCAAAAAAGGTCAAGAATCCAAAAATGAAACAAAGAACCAAGCTCAACGCGAGACCAACATAATAAATTTCGTACCTAGCTAATTTTATCAAATTTATGAATATGATGTGGAACATATATCTCATAGCGGATATTCATTATGTGTCCATAACGGAAAGGATGGCCATGTTTCACCCTCTAAATACATTAATTGGGCTACTGTATCTACTTATAGTTTATTTATATGTTTATTTTTGTTTTCGTTACAGAAAATTCCAGTAAGACCTTTTGATTATCGGGATGAAGCTGTATTTCAAATGATATGCATATTAAGAATGTTGGCATTCATCTTCTATCGAATCGATGATTTACCAGAATACTTGATCGTATGGTATGACCAAGATATCTCATCAAGTTATATGTGTATTTTATTGGTCTGCGAATAAATACTTTGATTATGCATGATCAGGCAGCTCATGAAGGCGAATGGCAAGAGAGCTTCAAGCAAGGCCGGAAACAAAAATAGCTCAGAAAGAAGGATGATGATGAATGCCGATGGTTTCCATGGTGGCCATGGAGTTTTGACAAGGCGAGTCGTGTATATAAGAGAGCAATCACTTTCACTCCCTTTTGTGCTCAAAGAAGCTCAAATTAAGCCATCTTCTTCTCTCTATAGCTGCTACTACATACCCGGCAAGCTCATCCAGACTCTCTCTCTCAAACAAAGAAAATGAAGAAGCAAACAGTCAGCTCATCAAGCAAGGGTGGAAAACAAAAACAAAAAAAAAGCTCAGAAAGAGGGATGATGATGAATGATGACGGATTCCATAGTGGCCATGGACTTTTTACAAGGCGAGTGGCAAGAGAGCTTCAAATGAAGGAGGAGGAGGTAAAGGAAGATAAGGTGGAGGAGGAAAGAAAAAGGACGAGGAAAGGAAGAGAAGGAAGAGGCCCACGAGGGGGTGGAGGCCAAGGAGCCGAGTTTTACTGAGTCACCCTGATCAAACTGTTGATGGGGTGAATGCTGGTGCTGCTCAAGATGTGCCTGCTGGACCCCTGCCATCGGCCGCTGCTGCCGATAGTAATGAAGTAGATATGGAAACGGTACTTGGATTGGGTCAGCGGGGGTTGACTCCCTGGAGAAGCAAGGAGGAGCAGGATTTGTGGTTTGGCGGGAAATTTCAAGTGGGCTTAGAAAGTTCTGCCTAGGTGGTTTAAATAATCTTCTCTCTTCCTCCTAATTGTTATTTGTCTTTAGATTAAATGTTTAAATTTTAATATGGTATCAGAGTAGGCTATACTTAAGTTTAACAATTATATATGTAAATCGTCATTTCGTAAATACTAATCCTTACCATTGTTTCTTTCCACGTTTGTGCATATCATTCCAAGAATGAGAACTAATTATGTCTCTGAAAATGACTAGAGCAACTGTGCCAAGATACTTTAATCAACCAGACTTTCAGTAGCAGCCCATTACCCTATTAGTCTTTAGTTTACAAAAATTTGCATTAACAGCTTGACAAGAACCATAACCATGTGGGATTAAGTAATATGGAAGACAGTACAGTGGTATACTACCATAGAAGATATGTTTTATTAATTGAAAAAACTTGTAACTTTGTGCTTCAAGCAAACCATGCATATACAATTGGTGAATTACCCTGATGGATAAGACTTGGGAGACAACCCATTGCTTATCGGGTTCAAACTCACCCATCTTCATAGTGTTGGAACTTGTGAGGGACTTTGTCCCACATCGCCCATACACCTTTTCTATTTTCCCTTTATAAGTGAGTTCACACAATTATTGATTGAAATGAATTGGGCTAAAGTCATGGACTTTGGGCTTTGGACTTGGAAGGCTTAGATGGATGAAAAACACAAGTACGATATTTACGTTTTTTATTTTAGGATTCAGTTTTTCCGAAAGGATAATACTGTTTACAAAAACAGTTACATCTTTTCTGCAGGATAAGAAGGAACAGCCATAACTATGCCATTATATATATGGTTGTGATATCAGAAATGTATATGCAATTCCATCGCTCTCTCTTTAATCTTTCATAGAGAAACACATAATAAATTCGCCAAGAATCCAAGTTCGAGTGCAAGAACTTGGGTTAGATAGTTGTATCCTGTAAGATAGACGTCCGTTGAACTTTATTTTAGGATTCAGTTTTTCTGAAAGGATAAGACTGTTTACAAAAACAGTTACATCTTTTCTGAAGGATAAGAAGGAACAGCCATAACTGTTCAAAAAAGCCATTATATATATGGTTGTGATATCAGAAATGTATATGCAATTCCATCGCTCTCTCTTTAATCTTTCATAGAGAAACACAAAATAAATTCACCAAGAATCCAAGTTCGAGTGCAAGAACTTGGGTTAGATAGTTGTATCCTGTAAGATAGACGTCCGTTGAAGTACTGCACTGGTGTAGGGATGAATTTCTGTCTTAGGAGATTGCTACTGCAAGCCTCTATCTTCCATAAACAAGTCAGTGATTTTATATGCAATTTTATTAATTGTTCATATTCTGGTATATTATATCTACAGTGAAATTGTAACTCGAAATAAACTGTACAAATTATTATATATTGTATAATTGACATTTGATTGGTTCTAATAATCTAAGACAGAAATTTTATTCCATGGATCAATCAAATGTTGGTGTCATCAAGCCATACGTTGAGAAACCTGAGAAATTCAAGGGAGTTGATTTTAAACGTTGGCAACAGAAGATGTTGTTCTACTTGACAACTTTGAACTTGAGTCACGTCATTACTTCTGAGGCTCCTGAAGCACCAGAAGAAGGAGATATTCCTGCCGAAATTCTGCAGGCTATATAAGCTTGGACTCACAATGAATTTATATGCAGGAACTACATTCTGAATGTTTTAGATGACTCTCTGTATGATGTTTGTTCATCATATAAGATGACTAAAGATCTGTGGGAGTCTCTGGACAAAAAATATAAGTCCGAAGTGGCTAGTTCCAAGAAGTTTGTGATAAGAAAATTTTTGAATTACAAGATGAGTGACACCAAGTCTGTTGTTAAGCAAGTTGAAGAACTCTAGGTGATTGCTCATGAGTTAGATGAAGAGAATCTTGGTCTGAAAGAAGGCTTTATGGTTGGCTCTATTATAGAGAAGGGGGTGTGATATCCACACACCCCATTTTACTTCTCACACACCTTTATAATTTTCGACCTTCGGATCAGATGAATTGAAAAAGATTAACGAACAGAAATTAACAAGGGGTGTGTGAGAAGTAATTTGAGGTGTGTGGATAGCACACCCCATAGAGAAACTGCATTCGAATTGGAAAGATTTTAAGATTTATCTGAACCATCTAACTAAAGACATAAGCATGGATCATTGATTCTCAAACTACGTGTGGAAGAAGATCATCGCAAAAATGAGAAGTATGATGCCTTATCGCTGGAGACAAAAGCCAATATTATGGAAAGAAGAGACTCACACAAGGCAAAACACCATTAAAAAAAAAACAAAGGCAAGAATGTTGCAAAGAAATCACTGACTATTGCGAAAGGGAAAACCTTCAAGAAAATCGAAAGAGGTTGTTGGGTTTTTGGACAGATAGGTCATAGGGCAAAGGATTGCCATCACAGGAAGGATCAGAATACTGAGAATTCCAATCAAGCAAACATTGCAGAAGACAAGTTTGTTGCTTTTGTATCCGAGGTCAATTTATTGACTAATTCAAATGATTGGTGGGTTGATACAGGAGCAACAAGGCATGTTTGTGATGATTAGAATTTATTTGTTTCTTACCAATCAATTGATGGTGGAGAAAATCTGTACATGGGAAATGCAATTGCATTTCCCATTGTAGGGAAGGGAAAAGTGACGCTCAAACTCACTTTTGGAAAAGAGCTTTCACTCACCAATGTTTTGCATGTTCCTGATATTTGCAAGAATATGATTTTTGGATCGTTTCTGAGTAACAAAGGTTTCAAATTAGTCTTTGAATCTGATAAGTTTGTAATCACCAAGGGTAGGGTGTATGTGGAAAAGGGCTACATGGCTAAGGGGCTCTTTAAATTGAATGTGTTTTCTGCTGATGTTATTATTAATAATAACAAGACTATTGCTTTTTTTTGCTTACTTGATTGAGTCCTCTACATTATGGCATGCAAGTTTAGGACATGTTAATTTTCGTTCTCTTCAAATAATGGTTAACTTAGGCCTATTGCCCAAATGTTCCATGAACAAAGTATCTAAATGTGAGATATGCACAAAATCAAAATATGCAAGACATTCATATAAATCAGTGGAAAAATCCAATGAAGTACTGGGTTTAATCCATGGTGATCTTTGTGATTTCAAGTCCACACCAACTCGTGGAGGAAAGAACTATTGTATTTCTTTCATTGATGATTGCAACAAGTACTGTTATGTCTATTTGATTCATAGTAAAGATGAAGCTTTAAACATGTTTAAAACATTTAAAGCCGAAGTCAAAAATCAACTAGACAAAAGAATAAAAGTCTTAAGGTCGGATAGAGGTGGTGAATATGAATATAATGACTTTGCAGAATTTTGTTCGAAACATGGAATAATACATCAAACGACAGCACCATATACTCCTCAACAAAACGGAGTGGCTAAATGAAAAAATTGAACATTGAAAGATATGATTAATTCCATGTTAAACAATTCTGGTACACCACATAATTTATGGGGTGAGGCACTCCTTGCTGCTAACACAATATTGAATTGAATTCCACATAAGAAGACTAATCAATCTCCTTATGTGTTGATGCACAAAATCAGTGAGGACTTTGGTACAACAGAAATCCGACCGTGAATCTACAAGAAACTAAATAACACAAGATGTATCGTGGTTCACCCCAATGTTTGGGCTACGTCCACACTGATGTTAATATATTTCTGGAGGCCAAAGGCCTATTTTGATGGATCTCTCTCTAGCCTCAACCTTCGCCTCAAATTGGCTCCCTCCGTGAAGAGAGTGAGGAGTTCCTTTTATAGAATAAGAGCTCCTCACTTATTACATATTTGCCCTTCACTTATTGCATAATTACATTTGAGTCCCCCGAGTATTTATATAAGGTCTAAATACGGAGGCCATAAATATGGTATAAACAGTAGTCCCCCAAGTCTTCAGTCAAGAGAGTCTTTTGGTTTGAGACTTGAAATCCAGTCCATGTGTGGGCCGAAGTAACTAGAGGTCGTCTAGAACTGGTACTTGACATGTGGCGATGCTCAACGTGAAGTGATGGAGGTGAGGCTGTTCGGCTAGAGGTGAGGGAGTACTTTTTATAGAATAAGGGCTCGCTCCTCAATACATGAATAATGGGCTAGAGGTGATGCTCGTGGTAAGGTGGTTGCTCAGTAGGCGGCGAAGCTCTCTAATGAAGGTGAGGGAGTCCATTTTATAGAAGAAGGGTTCTATCCTCAATACATGAATAATGGGCTAAGTCCCCCAAATGCTTTCATGAGGCCCAAATGCAGAGGCCCAATGTATAGTACTAGAGGTGATGCTTGTGGCAATGCGGTTGCTCGGCTGGCGGCGGTGAAGGTGAATGAGTCCATTTTATAGAATAAGGGTTCTCTCCTCAATACATGAATAATGGGCTAAGTCCCCCAAATGCTTTCATGAGGCCCAAATGCAGAGGCCCAATGTGTCGTACTAAAGGTGATGCTTGTGGCGAGGCGGTTGCTCGGCTGGCGGCGGTGAAGGTGAGGGAGTCCCTTTTATAAAACAAGGGCTCGCTCCTCAATACATAAATAGTGGGTGGTGCTATCTCTAATGAAAGTGAGGGAGTCCCTTTTATAGAATAAGGGCTCTCAATACATAAATAATGGGCTAAGTCCCTCAAGTATTTTTCTTGAGGCCCAATATATGGTACATAATGTAGTTCCCAAGTTTTCAGTCAAGAGAGTCTTTTGGCTGGAGACTTGAAATTTGATCCATGTATGGGCCGAAGTGGCGGTTTGTTCGGCTGGAGGCGGTATTTGTATACCATGCACTGAAGCTTTGTAGGTGAAGCTTTGTAATTGAAGCTTTGTAATTGTAGCTTTTGAAGCTTTGTAATTGTAGCCCTGAAGCTTTTGTGATTGTAGCCATGAGGCTTTGTAATTGTAGCTCTGAAGCTTTGTAATTGAAGCCCTGAAGCTTTGTTTGACATGAGTGATGCTCATGAATGTTGACATGAGTGATGCTCATGGATGTTAACATGAGTGATGCTCATGAATGTTGACATGAGTGATGCTCATGGATGTCGACATGAATGATGCTCGTGAATGTTTATGTATAATTGTCATGAGTGATGCCCATGAATGTTTATGTATGATTATCATGAGTGATGCCCA